TTAGTTATAGATGGACACAATACCTTTATTTATTTATTTCTATGTGGTGCTGAGGATCCAACCCAGTGCCTCACACATACTAGGCAAGTGCTCTACCACTTATCACTAAGCCACAATCCCAGGCCTATTGTGAGGCTTTTATATTCATGTTACAGAAATGCTGTAAAGTATTTACTTTTAGTATTTTCAGCTTTTAATTCAATTTTAAAAATTCAGAAAATTTACCATAATCCTACTATCATATACATACATACACAAATTAAGTTGTTAAAAATATCCCTGTACCCTTCGTTTCTATCTTCTCAAAGGTCACCATTATTACATATTTCAGTTTTATCATACATTTTCAGATTTTTTTTCTATAATTATACAGCATACACCTAGCTTTCTGTTTTTCTTTCTAGAATGGGAACTTTGCTAGCTAGGCATATGGTGCTGCAACCTGTTTGTATACTAATACATTATGGACACTTAATGTTCACTAAATCTTTCTAGGTCACAACTTGTCAAACTATTTTCTTAAATAGTTGCACAGCATTTAATTACATGAATTTATTATAATTTATCTAGCTCCCAACTGTCAGGTATTTATGCTTTTTCTAGGTTTTTGCTATTAAAACAATATAGTGAACTTTTTTGTGGTATCTTTGGGAATACACATATTTCAGTAGGACAGATTCATAGGAGTAGAATTCTTGTGTTAAAACACATGAGTAATTTAATTATTTATAGATAATGAAAAACTGCCCTCCCTTCAAAAGGCAATAGACTTTTACATTCTAGTTGCAGCATATAGGGGGTTCCTTTTTTCCTACACCATTTTTTGGGTGCTACTGGGAATTGAACACAGGGACACTCTACCACTGAGCTATCTTCCCCAGTCCTTTTCTTTTTTTATTTTGGTAAAGAATTTCATTAAATTGCCCAGGCTAGCCTTGGACTTTCAAATCTCCTGTCTCAGCCTCCCAAATAGCTGGGATTACAGGTATGCACCATCACACCCAGCTTCCTTATAACTATAACAAGTCTAATATTAGGAACAGCTGAAGTTTTGCCAATTAGATTGAAGAAAAAGTAGCTGGTTAAATTTGTATTTCTCTGGTAAACAAAGGTTGAAAAGAATATCTTTTTATATATTTATTAGTCATTTTTATTTCTTCTAAACTGAATACTAATATAATTTGTTTTTAGTTGTGGATGGACACAATATCTTTATTATTTTATGTAGTGCTGAGGACAGAACCCATATCTCACTCATGTCAGGCAAGTGCTCTACCACTGAGCCACAACTCTATCCCCTAATATAATTTAAAAAATTTTTTTGCAGTTGTAGATGAA